CAGGACCGTTATTAATTTATTCCTGTAAAAATACCGTCAAAATACTGGCAATCAGGACGCCAGTCGTCAACCGTAATGTAGAATCACGTTTACCGTTCACAATTATTCCCCGTCAAAATACGGAAAATTACTGTCAATCTCAATGCCAGTCGTCAACCGTAATGTAGAATCACAGGTACCGTAAATAAGTAATTCCTGTAAAAATACTGTAAATTACTGTCAATATGAATTCCGGTCGTCAACCGTAACGTAGAATCACAGGTGACGTAAATAATAAGCTTTGTCAACCGTTAATAATGTAGAATTACAATTTTAAATTTATTAAAAATAATTTCTGTAAAAATACAATAAATTACTGTCTAAATTACTTTTACAAAAATTCCCACTACATTTTTGGTGGCTAACAAAATTAAACAAATTAACGAAAATTGTTTATAAAGTCTATAGTTTAACAAATGTTTTAAAGAATCTTCATTAGACTGTTTTTTTTAAAAATATTATATTTGTAATTACAATACACGCCTTTGTTGAAGAAAAACGAGCCCCAACAGATGTCTGATGTACTTTTTCTTTCTTACTTATTAACTATCATGAAAACTGCAGAACAAAAAGGAGTGAAATCTTGGTTACTATAATAATAAATCATGAAATGGTACATATTATTATGCCAATAAGAATATTTTGTAATAGTATGTTATTCCGATGTTGTATTTCTTACTGTAATATTAAATTATGAAATACAATGTCTATGAATAATCAGAATAAGAGAACTTAGTTGGCTTGCTGTTACTGAGAAGATAAATAGTACATATTATTTCTAAGTTACCATCCTAGTTTAATTATAATGCATAAAGTAAAACTGAATCGTTAAACATAAATCAACATTTATAGTAATATCTATACAATACAATTTAGTAAAATGCAATAATCAATAGTATATTTTAAGATTATTTCACAATTCTGGACCATAACCAGCTTAATAACACTGAACAGTACTAACAGATTATCATTTAATCACTCTACTTCTTAGCTTGTTTACTATCATTTGCTATCACCATATCTTAGAGACGTTGCAAAGGCAATCATAAATTCATTAGATAGGGAAACCACACTTCTGGATAAATGTACCTAAAAACACCTTGTCTGTAATTCCTTGTAATTAAGATTAAGATTTATTACATTTTAATCATAATTTTAATAAGTTTCAATAAGTTAGTAAATTAGCTGGGCAATTGGACTTTCAATGCTAGTGACTCATGGAATACAGATACTTGTGGTTAGCTTAACATTAGGTTACATATTACGAAGAACTGCAATACACTATGTTGTACTGACTCACCCATAAAAACAATATCATAATTGTTGATTGAGAGCTACTAACAAATTTTAAATACAAATCTTCATACGTTGAGTCATCAACAATATCGGACAAGCTAATTCTTTCTGACGAAGGTAGTTGTCATTCCCCTTTCTGAAAACACTTTTTAACTTGATTAGCTACCTTGTTCCAGTAGACATCACCAGGATTGTTTCCACTGTCATAGACTGAAATGCTTTTGTGTCCAAGTGACTCCTATAGAAATCAATATTTAAAATATTTTTAATCCACAGTGCACAGTAACTACTGTACAAATAATAATTATAGATTGCATTGCTTTAACCCCAATGCTACTACACCACATAACATCCCAAACACCATGCTAGTGGACTCTTATCCTATAGTTTTGATCACGCAAAGATATATATGGCCACGCAATATTACATTTTTGGAAGGCGACTAGGCGCATGGTGACAACCAACTGATGCAGACCACCGGTCACACATTACTCTCCATAACACAGCATCCCCTAGTTCCGTCACCTCTGGAGGCACAATCAACTTACTGTAATATCCCATGTCTTCCCAAGGCAATAAATACATAAGATAATCGTAGTCATACCCTATTAAGGGCCATGTTATTTTAGCAAGCAACAAAAGGGCCTTATAAAGTCAGGTTTGGCATGTTGAGCTCAAAAAGTGGCTTTTGATTTTTGGACACTATGTTAAGAGAGTGATAGACAAAACTGATAATTTATAACAAATTCATTCAGTAATTAACTTACATAATATCTACCCAAGACAAAACAATGTACCAGATGATGATGATAAATTAAATTTGAATGTAGTCTTTTACATTTACTAATTAGAACTAGATATACAGTACAGTACTGCGTACCTGGAAGTGTTGGCAAAAAATGTCTTCTGTGATAGAAGATCAAGGTACTCTTCTTGACTTGAGTTTCGCTCTGGACTGGAAAAATCTCCTAGGCTTGAAATGGGAATAAAGTTTCTGGAGTGTTTTTTGTTCACATGTTGCTGGAAAAAAGAACATAATTGCTGATGGAAAGAAAATTCAGGACTAAGTAACACAACACTAAACAATTAAAACTTCAGACAAAGAAAAAAAATACATCCTGGATTTTGGGCACATAATTGTAGCATGTATCTTGTAACTAAATCAATGCATTTATTTTGTTGTGTAATTACGTCTAAACATTAAGAAAGCATTGATATCTGTCTCTTATAGTTTTCTTCCAAAGGTTGGAAGATTATAAATATTTTAACCATCAAAAGTTGTGGGTTAAATTCTGGCAAGTTGAAAAGTAGCATGGTAATTTGTCAAATGCCAAACTCATTTGGATCATACAGTATCCAAGCAATCATAATCAGAATAATCAGAATAAAAGGACAATTATTGTTTGGCAACACACCTTATCCATACAGTACATCTTACCTTAGAATGTCATCCTTCCGTAACTAGTGCAAGATCCGCTTCATGGACCACACCAAGCTCATCCAGTTTTCCCAAATGTTTTTCTTTCATCAAAATTAGAAAACATGAATCACTAACAGTTTCCATAATTATCTGTAATGACTGACATACATCTATGGGCATTTATTATGTTAAAACAGTGTTCAGATTTCATTTTTACATACAAAAAGTTGTGGAAATTTTGAATGAAAGTGTAATTTTGCTTCCCTTATCTTATAATTTTAGTCTTTAAAATAAAAAAAGTGACAACTGGAAGATATCTTATAATTTTAGTCTTTAAAATCCAAAAGGTGACAACTGGAAGATATTAAGTTCCTGAAAAAGCTCAATTTATTAGGTATTTTCACTTCACTTCTCTAACATTGCAACAATGTAGAATATGTTTCTTTCGAATTCGGTTTATGGGATTGCAACTCTAGTTATTAATTGTGGGCTATAAATGGGTGAATTATATATTATATCTTAATGAAAAAGTATTGTCTTCAGTATTTTGACACCTTTATTTTTTAAAATTGGTCCAAAACCGGAACAGGGCATGCCAATAAATGAAATTGAGAGAGTGCAGGAAAAAGAAATTCAAAAGTTAGCAGATGTGAAACAATTCAAAATATATAACTTCTTTATCCTAATCATAAATGGTATGATGGCGAGTTTGGTGTCAGTCTATAGGCCCCTACCCCTGTGTAGGTTTGTGGCCAAGGGAAGGAATCGATTAATGGTATAGTTTTGTGTTTTGTTTTTTGTCGGAAAACAGATTCTTTTAGAAAAGGTGTCAAAATTCAGAGGAGAGGATAAATCGTTTAATTTATATTTTGGTAATCAAAGTATCGCTCCCAAATGTTGATGGCCAGGTCTTGAATGTCTGCTCTCCATTGCAGTAGCCTAGCTAAGCTAACTTGGTATACTATCGGGCCTAACCTGGCAAGGCCTAGGCCTTGCCTACTTACTTTCGATCTTCAACAGCCTGCCTACGGCCAGGCCCTAGGTAGGCCTATGCCCAGTCCTAGGGCCTAGCCCTGGTAGTAGTAGTACAGTAGGCTAATAGGCCTAGTATCTAGGCCTAGCCTAGGTCGCTTTAAATTTACCGAAGACTAGTGCCTATAAGTAATAATTGGAATGAAAATGATATATTATAGCCATATACGTTCTTGTGCAATGAAAACTTACTGAACTCACTGATCCTTTTGTTTTCCAAGATAAAGAACCGACGTAAACGAACTTTACATGTGCTCTCCTCTTCCATACCACTGCGTGCGCCTGTCCCCGCCTCAACGTCGACACACTACGCATGCGTGTATCATAATGCGTCATAAACTGAGATGTCACGTGATCGTAAGTGCGCCAAATAAATGGTTTTCGCTTTAATTTTACGTTAGGGAACGTATATTAATAACAACAGGGGCGTACCGTGGGGGGTGTCTCTTATACACATCTAGCTGTGTATAAGAGACCGCGCT